ATAATGTCCTGATACTTCACAACAGAGCCAGGCAGTACTAAATTGACAAGCTAGGTTAATTACAAAAGATTACACAACAAAACCAAGACCAATTCCACTATCTTCAAGTTGATTCCCTCCATCAGGTTGTCAGGGCTGTAAATCTTAATGGGAGGAGACTGCTGATCCTCCTCCTTCAACAAGGCTGGTGGACTTGAACCACTGATTTTTTTAGTTAGCAGCCTCATGTGTTAAGCTCTATGCCACTGGAGCTCTGCAGATTGCACTATAGGATACAGGGGCCTGGAGAACTACACTGTCAGTGAAAATAGGTTTTTCATAGTTCATGGGAAAAGAAATCAATTTACACATTCAACAAAGACATACTAGTTTCCTGAGGAGCCAAGACACATAACTTCTACTTTTAAATCTTTCGTTTGAATTTGAAAGAGATAGATGAGCAGTAAGTAAATATGCCTGTTGTCATCAATTTCAATTCAGCGATCCTATAAGAGTCAATTTGGTTTCCGAATCTTCAATCTTCACTGAAGCAACCTGCCTTATCTATTTGCCTGTGCAACTCAAAATTCTTAAACTCAAACTCTCTTATTCATTTGATTTTGCCTCAGAGCGACCCACCATTAGGTTTCCAGAGATATAAATTGTGATGAAAGGTGCCTGCCTGCGTTTCTCCCTCTGAACTGCTGGTGGATTAGGCCAGGAGACCTACACCATTTGGATTAGCAGCACAGCTCACTACGTAACTACAATACTATGGCTCTGTTTCAGTGCAAGGAGTGGGTTCAAATTGCCAGGCTTCCAGCTGGCAACCAAGTGCTTAATCACTGTGCCACTAGCTCTCCTTTAAGTAAGCACATTCATGGTTAAACTGTGAAGGAAATAAACAGGTTGATATTTCTTATAGCTTCTGGGAACTAATCTTTGAAGGACGTGATATATTTTGAGCTGAGCACTGAGAGGCGGGAAAGCGCCTGCCTGTGGAAGAAAAAAAATGAAACTGCAGAGAACTACTACCAAGGGGTTGTCTGTCCTCGGATCTTTCCTCTCCTCACAGATGCTACTTTCTACATTCCCACCTGTTCACAACTTGGACACCTCTTTTCCAGGCTAGTTCTGTCCACAGGGATTCATCTCTTTTCCACACCAGGGCTAGACTTGCAGGATTGGTGCACTGTGAATCTTTCCATCTAAGAATTCCAGCCTATTTTTCAGTTACCAAATCTGAACGGACCTGCTAAAGCCTTTTGATGGTTTTCTACTAGAAATCCTTTCTTTTACATTCCTGTTTCAATTGCTGTTATGTGCCATTGAGTCAACTAAGACTCATAGCAAACCTATGAATAGGTCTGAACCCTGCCCTCCTTATTTTGACTCCGTAGTCTGTCTCTGACACTCCTACACCCATTGTCACACTCTGTCAAGGCATCTCATCCAAGATCTTCCTCTCTTGCACTGACCCTTTACCCTTCCAAGCATGATGTAACTCTCCATGAAGTGCTTGCTCCTGGCAACATGTCCAAAGTATGTGAGATGGCATTTCAAAATCCTTAACTCCAAATGGCAACCTGATATCCTCCTCTCCAGGACAGACATTGGCAGTTCATTTTTCTAACATAGACTCTCTGATGGTCTAGTAGATTAGGAATTGTACTGGCAACCCCGAAGGCAAGTGATTTGAATTCACCAGCTGCTTTTCGAGAGGAAGATGGGCAATCTCATTCTGCCTCTGAAAACTGGCTGGAGGGTCCTAACAACCACATGTTATTTTATATTTTACTGGTAGCTCAGTAGTTAAGTACCTGACGGCTAAAAAAGAGGTCGGTGATTGCAACATATCAGGCATTCTGTAGGAGAAAGATGCATCAATCTGCTTTAAGAGTAACCAACCACCTTGGAATGCCTCTAGGGCAGTTCTACTACGGCCTACAAGGACCCGAAAAGACTCCCTAGCAATGGTGCTTTGGATATCGCTTTAACACCTTCATTATATTAAAGTCTGGAGGCCACTGAATAAATTCAAATGCTATGAGATAGGCGTTTTGGGGGCACGTCAGGGAAGGGGTGCTGACAGGCCTTGTTAAAGCAGGAACGCCAGCCTTGAGGCCCCAGGATGACGTAATGCAAAGGCGGGCCGGCTCAGCGTGAAGGCGTGACGTCACGCGGGCGGGCCTGTGGCCCGTGAGGTCACCTGGTGGGCGTGGCCAGGCCGAATCCCCGGCGTCGTCACGGGCGGGGCGGGGCCAGAGCGTGTCAACGAAGCCGAATCAAAACAAGCCGGAGACCCGCCTTTTCCCTCCGGCTCGG